GCAGAAGAGCATTGATAAGTTTAAAAAAAATTAAACTTCAATTTTTTCGACTTGTGACAAGGGCACTTGCGACCCTTGCTCTCATCCCAACTTGAACCATCAAATGTTCATGACTTCTCACCTTAGACTTGTTCCTTTTATTTAACTTTGACCTTTTCGTAAAATATGGTCCAAGACACTTGTAAAAGTACGTAGTAATTTTTGAATGAAAGTAAAAAAGAAAATGACTAAAAGATGAATTTATATGCGGAAATTTTTCACTTGTGACAATTTCTCTTGGAGAAAATGTGGAGCCATCTTGACTGCATAACTAATGAAAAGACAACGTCTGTAGTTAAGGTAGTAGTGGAGTCTACCAATTTGTCTCAAGTCAATATAAGACCAAAATATGAAAAGATATAAATTAAAGTAAGAGTAGAAAGTGGAAGCATCTTACACTTCCAGTTTTAGACCAAACTTTTAAAGTGGAAAAACACACTCTAGAATGGTTCCAATTCCAATAGTGAATTGATTACCCAACAGCCTAACCAAGTGATCAAGTATAGTGTAAAAAGATTCCCTTCTTTATATAGGGGCAAAAAAACACTTGTCATAATAGTAGCCCTTTCACTTCATGTGGCAGATCAAAGTGACTAGTTTCTTGTGGTGGAAAAAAACACTTGTCATAAAAGCCGTTTGGATTCGTCTTAATGTAGGCATCGTAATTTATTTGTAATCGAAGAAGCTATTCCATATAAACTAGTCTTTGGTGTATGAAGATAAACAATCCCTCCGGAAGATACACTATAAATAAAAATGTAAGCATAACAAATAAAATTTTGTTAAAATTCACTCCACCTAATGTTATCTTCTTTACGAGTCTTTTTTTTCAAAAAAAAAAAAAAAACCAATAACGCAAACATCAAAATATTGGTCCAGTAGGTAAGACTCGGAGTTTTATTTATCAAATTAAAGCTTCAGTTTTAAATTCGTTCTCAACTTGTTAAACGTTCACCGGTCGAGACATCTATAATTTGCCTGCCTACATTGTATATTTGAAGCAAGAACACGTTGAACATTAATTAATTACTTAAACTAGTTATAGCAAATTAAAGTTGAGTTATCATGTTCTTCTGGAAGAAATTATTGCACCGTTGTAGCAAGTTTTTTAAATAAAGTCTAATCTTCTGGTATAGAATGTGATTGCATGAGTGTACAATTTCGTAATCTTCTTTTAAGCTTATTTTTTTATAATTAAATAATACGGTGTTTTACTTTAATATATATATATATATATATATATATATATATATATATATGTTGGAGAGTTTTCCAATTAAAATATATAAAACATAATTTAAATTAAAAGTATTTTCATTGTAAATCTAAATTTTATTTCTAATTACAAATAAAAAAAATATAAGAATCTTCTGAGACATCATTAAAAAAGAAAATTGACGTGAATATTTAAAACAAAAAGTTAAAAGTAAGAAGAATTTAAGAAAGAAGATGCTTTATATATTTAATAATTATTTTTTTTAATAAAAATTAATAGAACGTGTGAATGAGATAGATTAATTATTGTAAAAATAATTAATTAAAGAATATGAAAATAGTTTAAAGGATAATTAAGTTGACCAAACACAAGAGGAATGATTGGAATGAGACTCAAAGGAAGTAGTTAATTGAAAAATGAAGCAATATGTCGCTTAACAACCCGACCCATCTTGTTCTTTTGTTCCCCACTTGACACCATCATCTATTTCTTTCTATAATCATCCATTTTTATCATTACCAAAATAATAACATATCAAATATAATTAAAATCATATAAAATACAATATATATATATACACACACGATATAAATAGATTTAGAACCATGCAATGAACTACAAGATCCGCAACCTACGTCACGTTATAGGTCTCCAGGGCCGGCCCTGGCTATAGGCCCAGGGGGCGACGGCCCAGGGCATCATGAAGCCCAAGGGCATCAAATCTGTAAAGCCCAATGTATATATAGGTTGAGTTTTTTTAGGCCTAAGAAAGTCTAATGTTACCGCCCTGTTTCTTCCTCTCGACTCTCGCCTCCCTCTCGACTCCTCTCGCCTCCCGCCTCCCTCTAACGTTGTCGTTCAATCTCAATCGAAATCAATATCGCAAAAAGGCTCTAGCTCTCACGCTCCGTCGCTCAATCTCAATCGAAAATCAATGTCGCAAATGGCTCTCGCTCTCGCTCTCTGCCTGACTGCCTCTCACGACTATTGACTCCGACTGCCGTCGGTCTGCGGCTGCCGGGCGCCGGCTGCCTGCCTCTTTCCGTCTCTCGTCACTCTCTGCCTCTCGCTCTCCGCCCATCACTGTTGTGAGGTTAGGGCTTAACTTAGGGTTATTTGATTACTTATTTACTTTACTTTACTACTTATTTTATGTTTCTAATTTTTGTTTGATTAATTCATAATCTAGATGAAGCTAACCTGTTTACTTAGGTTTTCTTTTAAGTTTTAAATATATAATATACTAATACTATATATATGTCTACTTAGGTTTTCTGTAAACAACATTATAATGAAGTTGTCCTGCCTACTTAGGTTTTCTTTTAAACTGATTGGGACTTGTGGCTGTTTTTGGGGCTGTTTTGTTTTGCATTCTTTTCAATCTGCTCAAGCCCTAAATTTTTTACTTTTTRGGGTTGTTTAGAAGCTTTTTAGAAGCTGTTTTGAAAHGGATTAGTATAGGACAAAGGCTTAACATTGATGATTAGTATAGGATAAAGGCTTAAGTTTTTTAGRAGCTGTTTTAGCTACTATTAGTTATGACAAAATGTAGATATTTTTGCTTCAAAAAATGCAAGAAGGCATCGTTTTAGGTGAATGGTAATGTATTTTATGTTTTGTTACACGGGGTTTTGGTTTATGTCCCCCCATCATTTTTGTTATATTTAAAAAAAAATCAGCGTGATGATGAGCCGCCTAGATTGACTAGGTTTCAAACCCCTTCAAATAGTTTATTGTGGTTTTTATATACACACATAAGGGGCATTTTTTTGGTTTTCCGCCATGGGCATCCAAAATCTCAGGACCGGCCCTGTAGGTCTCTGTTTCTCTGATTTAGTATCAAATGTTATGAACCATAGGAATTAACTCATATGATATGGCCTATGTATGGGTGGTGTTTTCATAAAATCATGATGTTCTCGTTTGAATCCAGTCCTATTTGTATATGTTGGTGATGTTAGTGTCATCAATCATTTTAGTTTAGTTGTGATTTATTTCAAGATCGAGGGATTTTCATAGGTTAAGCTATAATATGAGTTAGGAGTTGCGAAGAGCACACTCCCAAAAGCACCCCTGGGTTCCAAGGGTAGAGTCCCTTGGCGGTATGCACCAAGTCTTTTTTTTTTCCTTCATGAAACCTTCTAAATTTTCACTTCAAATTGTGACGTACATAATTCATGAGGCAAGTCCTCTTTGAACTATAGTGCAGTTACCGTTTGGATCATATCTAATAATAGATATTTGTTCATTGTTATTATCTACAAAATAACTATCTAACCACCATAAATAACACGTGAATAACTACTTACTTAAAAGGATTTTTAACCTCTTTTAATATATATGCTACAAAAGCTTGAATTTTTTTAAAAGACAACAAGAACTATATTAAAACAACAAAAGAGTACAAAAAAAAGGGCAAGACCTTTCTGCAAGACACAGAAAGCAGCCCAAGACACCAAGACTAGGAACCAGCAAGAGAAAAAAGAACAAAGCAAAACCCGAAACCAAATGAGACCCAAAAAACCAAAGACTAAAAACGAACTACACGACGAAACCTTAACCACTACACCATTATGACCAAGTCAAATTGAAGTCTTTGGCACGTTTAGAGATCCATTAGAAATAAAGAATATGCATCGTGAATAACCGATCAAGGTGGTCATTCGATTTGTCTAAAAGACCTGATTGTTTCGATGCTTCCAAACTAAATACAGTAATCCATGATACCGACTTCCAAAGGTGACTTTTACAACTCGAAATGCCAAAGAAGTCTGATCCATTCAACAAGTCGTCAAAAGAAAATGAAGACATCAAGTTCCAACCCCACCACTTGAAGGTCCTTCCACAAGGAAACGCTAGAAGAGCATGAGAAGAAGCAGTGCTTGATAGTTTCCTCGATGTTGCCGCAACATCAACAAAGGATGGAATTAAGATCAATGTTTTTGTCATGAATACTCTTCTGCACCAGAATCCTTTCCCACCTAAGCCGCCAACAAAAATTCCCTCCGTGAAAAGTAGAACTTACAATCACATAGGAATTGGGACAAAGTTCTCAGGAACCGGCAAAAGTTTATTATCAATCAAGCATCTTAGATCTGAGACTGAAAAGCCTTCATTTTTCCCTAACCACCAAATCCATCGATCTCTAACATTGGGTCAAATTGGTATTGCTAGGGGATAAGTTCAACTCCTCCAAATCAACAATTGTCCTGCCCCTAGGCTCCTTTGCCCACTCCCACGAACCACACCAACGTTTTTCCATGTTCACCACTCGGCTGCACACCAAAGCTTCCTTATTCGATTCCAACCTTTAAAGCCTCAAGAATTTCTTGCAAATCCTAAAATTGCCCGACCATTTATCCCTCCAAAAGAGAGTGTCCGCCCATCACCAATCCCTTTCTCAAAAGAATCTACAAACGAAATCCCAATTTTTAAATCAATATCTATAATCCATATTCAATGAGAAAGTGCATATGTTTTTTTATTACCTACAGCAAACTATTTAGTTAAATATATAGCAAGTAAATATTAGGACCTATAAATAAAATATATATCTAATCATCTATGCTACCTTAAAACTTAAGGTACTACCTTTTTAAGAATCATTTTTTAAAATATCTTAATTACAACATAAGAAGCATAAAGTACTACCATCAATGCCTTTAGAAATCAGACTCCCAATATGACCTTTCATCTCCTGGTTTACTCCCCCAAAGCGACTGAAGCTTCAATTCTCTTCCCAAGATGAGGATTGAAACTTCTCTTCCTGTTAATGCTTTTAGAAATCAGACTCCCTGTATCGATGCCTTCAACCTCCAACTGTATGTATCGATCCAAGGTAAGCTTCTGTTCATTCTCCGTGGCTTCGACCCTGATGGTTTCTATATGAAAATCTTGATTTATGAGTCTTGACCCTGATGAGCTTCTGTATCCCATATGGTTGCTTAGAGATAAAATCGAGCTTGTATCGACGCCTTCAACCTTCTCGGTGGTTCATTATCGATTCAAGGTAAGTTTCCATTGTCTTCATCTGCTTTGGGATTTTGTATGAACTTCTGCTTTGGTATCCAAATATGTTTTCCCATTTTTTTGAGAAATTAATCACTGCTTTTGTTCATATCAATTCTCAGTGGTTTCTATTTAAACCCTAACAGAAATGAGCTTCGACCCTATTTGTTTCTATTTGAAAATCTTGATATATGGTACAATGTGGTTACTCATCGTACTCATTGGTATTGTTTTGGTATCATTAAGGCATGGTAGATTGGTAAAAGATGCCTCATTTGAATCCTTTTTCAAGTCTATTTTTACAATCATGGAATCTTTGGTATCATAATACTTGTGGCTCGAGAACATGGCAACTCTTGTTATGTATTGCAGGTAACAGTTGCAGTTTACCAGCTCTTTTTCCCATGGCTACCCAATCGATAACCTAGCAATTGATAATCTCAAGTAGGTAACACTAACTTTTACTCTTTTGTATGAATATTCTTTTTCATTTTCTTGTATTCGTTATATGATGTTGATCAATGTGGGTTCTTCTCTTGGTAGTTTATTCCTTTCCAATTAAAGAATGATCTCATTTTGACATAAAGTTCATAAAGTCTTGAGTCGGCATTTGGTAGAGTGTTGAAGTCTAAGGATGGATGGCATCACCTGACATGATGGTCTACTGACACTCAATTGTACTTTTAGCTTTGTTTAACATCTTCTTTTATAAGATTATGTTTTTAGTGTGTATATGACAAGCATCAAAGCATAAGGAAATATGTTTTTTTCAACTCATTTTCACACTATGCACAAGATGAAGCCGTCTATTTTACATTTTCGTTTACATTCATTCAAAGTTTTCATATCGACATATTGTACGGATACATAACTAGTCATGGTATAAAATGAAAATTTTATCTGAATAGATGTCGAGTGAACCACACCAATGGAGCATCTACTTACCCTTCCAATCATAAATTTGCAATATCTTTTTGGAGATATTGAATCTCTCTTTCTTAAATGTTCATATTCTTTATTATTTATTAGGTATTAATGGTTATCGATTGCTCATAAATAAAAGTCTTTTTTTCTGTTTGAGAAAAGATATAATAAACAATACAAATATCATGTGGTCGTCTCAGGGATTAATTGGTACGCGTAAGCTGATGTAAAAATTTATAGTAACAAGAAGTAAATACGAAAACAACTATTATTCTATGCAATCTACTATGAAAAATTAAAGTTAGATAAAAAATAGCTTACAGTTACAAAGTATTTTTTTGTCTAAATTCAAATTTTTAGAATACTATATGCCACTTGTATTATACAACTCATCCCCTTTCCATACCCCCACTGACCGGTCCCGCCCCACCCCCTCAAACAGCAACAATGCCCACCACCGCCCCCACAATTTTCTTTCCCATCATCGCCCTTCCCCTGTCAACTCGAAGACAAAGGAAATAGACTTTTTAAAGATTGGAAAATTGAGCTAGAATATGTGCACATTTAATTAAAAGTATAGTGTAAAAATACAGTCGACTTAAATTAGAAGATTTTCAAAGTTTTTCTTGACGAACTCTCGCTCTTTGGCCGTTATCGATGAACCCGTCTCTTCATGTCATTATTGATGAAACACCGTTATTTTCTCTAATTCAAATTTTTATAGACTGAACCATTAAACTATATTTTTATTATATTGAACTATCAAATATTTTGTAATTTGAACTGAAAATTAGAATCCCCCTTTCTATCCTTTTTAGTCTCATAAACTATTTAAAACAAAACATCGATAATCTCTTCGGATCAAATTTTTTAAAGTAGGAAACAAATTAAATGAAGCATTTACATTATATGTATGATTGTTGCTGATAATTAAGACAATGGTATTAGACTTTATGGTACACCAAGTATTATTCTTTTACAATAAATGATGCTTTTATTTTTTTTCAAATTCTTTTTTGTTTTTTAAATAAACTCCTTAAGATTTAGAAATTTCCAAATAATTCATTTTTGCATTAAATTCTACTAAATTTAAGTATCTAATTGACCCCAAAAATATTTTATCACCATATAATATCAAAATATTACAACCAAGTCCATAAATATGACGATGGTCATTGCACAAAACGATGTGAATCGATTAATCTTAAAACGATCATTTCTCTCGTAAGTATCTCGGAATTACCGCATTTGAACATTCGTGACCATATGATAATACACATTTTCACATGCATGTAATAAAAGACTCCACGACAATTTAATTCCATCTATCTTGCTCTTGCCCTTGCCCACATCTTCATGTGCATTTGTCATGCAAAATAATATAAAATAAAAACTATCAATAAATGTGATTGTAATGTTTTTTTGTTAACAAAAATATTTTTTCAGTTATATATTTTAACAGTTATAATTAATCTTTTTTATTAACCTGGATATTCAACCTGTTATATGAATCGACTAATTCAAGAACAACCACCTCTTTTGCGGGTTGTTGGAGTTATTGCATTTGAATCTTCATGGTCACAAGAGAATTTTTATACTTCCTTGGATTTGAAGCTGTGACCTTCAGACACTTTTGATCTTTGGAGTCTAAACTCAAACCAATCAGACACCATTCTTGTGGTTTATAATTAATCTGAGCAGTCATCTATTATTTATATATTGAATTCACATATAGTTTCAAGAAAATGGAAAGAGAAAACATAGATTATACCGATCAATATTGTGGTAATTAAGGGGCCGTTTACCAATACTTACCTGGGTAAGTGCTTACCGGCAAAATTCAAAACTATCAATTAATTACCGGGTAAGTTATTAGTTCACCAAAACGGTATCGTATGCAACAAGTAACCCGGTAAGTGCTAACCGTAGTAAGAGTCGTCATTGTCACTTACTGGGTAAGACTCTCAGTCCTTACCTTAGCTCTTATTGGGTAAGATTATTGGTTCTTGCAATGTTGATTCGGTAAGGTAATATGACTTGGTAAGCTCTTACCCGAATAAGCGTTTGGTAAACGGCTCCTAAGTTAGCAGTTTCATATATTTCTAAATTAAATACTAAAGTTGATGATTTATATTTGAGTTCATTGATCCGTTGATTTTGGTTGGAATCAAGAAAATAGAAAAGAAAACATAGATTTATTGTGGTATTAATAATTAACACATGATCATATATGCCACAGTACACCATTTACATCCAGCTGCATGCCCCGCTAACATTAACAAGAAATTGTCAACAACAAAAAAAGATTCAAGGAAAATAAACAAGAATCAAGACAGATGAAATGAATCAAATCGGAGGTTATATCTATCTCCCCAACAACACTCAGTTGCGAAAATGATCTGGGTTTTGATCAAACGCGAAATGAGTTAAATCTGTTTTCCTTTGATTAATCACATCATCACCACCGGCTTCATCAAGCAACCAGTTTTCAAACATTGTGAATGGCAGTTGGGCACCAATTAACTCCGGCTTGCTTTCTTTTGGCGACATGTTTGATAGGGAAAGATCTGAACCATTTGGAGACCCAAAAGACTGATCAAAACCAAGCAAAGATTCAAACCCTTCGGATGAATCAATCCCAGTAGTCTTGCAAGTGCTAGAATCTGAACTTGATTTTGAACTGATGGGTGCGTTTTTCATGAACCCTTTGAGCAGATTTGCTATGTTGCCGGTGCTAGAAGCATAAGTGGTTGTTTGGGTAGAGGTATTATAAGAAGAAGTAGGTTGAGGAGCAGGAAAGTTATCAAGAAAGATGGATGGTTTGTCTAAAGATAAAGCATCACTCAGTGCTTGTTTGGCCATGTGAACATCAGTTTGAAGCCTCTTCTCCCACTGACCCCTGGAGATATGGTGGGAGGAAGATGATGATGATGATGTTGAAGAAGATGGAATCCGATCATGGTCATGATCATAGAGCTTTCTAAGCTTGTTTTTCAAATGGGTATTCCAGTGGTTTTTAATGTCGTTATCTGTTCTCTCAGGGAGATATGAAGCTATCGCTGACCATCTGTGATAAATAAATTAAAAAAACAAAGAACATCTTTCAATATACAATTTGGGTGAAAATCAATGCATTAGATAGCAAAAAGATAGATGAACTTACTTGTTACCCAAAAGAGCTTGTAGCTGGATGATCATGGTTTCCTCATCATGGGTGAAATCTCCCCTTCTGATACCAGGCCTAAGGTAATTTGTCCACCTTAGCCTACAGCTCTTACTGCATCTACGCAGTCCTGTGAATACACAAAGAAAGTGAGAAATTTCAAGAAAACAGAAACCCAATTTTCACCGTTCTTCACATCTCCAATCATCATGAACACATATATACATAAAGAGAGAAAATTATAAGCATATATATATATATATATATATATATACCGGTGTTGGTTGGGACTTGGCGCCAATTGCCAGGGCCATGGCGTTGAACATAAGAGACGAGCATTATATCTTCCTCAGGAGTCCATGGCCCTTTCTTCACTACCATTTTGTCACAGCATGGTGGTCTCCCCATTCTCAATACCTAAATCTTTTTCTTAACAGTGAGAGATTCGTGTGTTTTGTTGGGAAGAGAGAAATCTGCAAAGAGAATTAAGATATAGTATATGTATATATGATATAATTAGAAAGAGATATATATGTATGATGAGTCGTGTCTGATTTAAAGAATGGGTGGGAGTGACAGCAAAGCTTCAAAGGGTGCATTTAGTGTATGCTCATGCATGCTGTCACGGCACAGTACACAGTAGCTTAAAGGCAAAGTCAGCCAGCCCACCTTTGCCCCCTTTCAAGTCCACTGTTTTCCTATTTATGTTCATTCTTTCCACCATGGTTAATTGAAGTCGATCTCAAATTGATTAATTATATATGCATTTGAAGCTTCGTAATTAATTATCATATCAAAGACTCCAACGTTTGTACAAAGTGCATGAGATCACCTCTTACTTTAGACTATTACATTTGTTCACATGCACCATTAATTACCATTAATATATTAAAGTCATGACATGAGCCATTACATTTTATAACATCTTACTTGAGGGAAATGTGGTAGCCAAAAAGAACACACTATTTGGATTTGAATGCCATTAATAAGTAAAAAAGAAATTTGATTAACCTGGATATTCAACCCGTTATGTAAGCCGATTAATCCCAGGAAGATCACCTGCTTTGCAGATAACCCGGAGTCACAGCATTTGAACCTTCCTGGCCACAAGGGGATTTTTATTCCTCTTTTGATTTGAACCTAAGACCTCCAGGTACTTTTGACCTTTGCAGTCAAACTCAAACCAATCAAACAGCATCCTTATGGCTATGATCTTCAATTTATTTATGTAACCCAAAATGAAATTTATTTTTAACAAGAATATTTTAGCGTATTTAACTTTAGTTCTGTTAATTTTAAAGATTGTTTTTTTCGATTAAGAAATTTTGGGAATGAAATTAATTAATATGGACAAAAAAATGGTTTATATATACTTCAACCATTATTTAATAATTAACCTATTACAAAACAGTTCTTAATTACTATATAAATATATCATTAAAGAACAAATCGTTATCGGACTTTAAGTTAATTACTATATAAATATATCATTTTTCAATTCAGGTTCGGATTTTAGACCATTCAAATTTTGAACACCCCTGCCCTCAAATACAAAAATATTTATTTTTAAATAAGACCCGATGTTTTTTAGTGTTAGTATACTTGATGGTCCATTCTATTAATTAGTGTTAGTATACTTGATGGTCCATTCTATCAAAGACCAATCTCAGTCGTCCTTCTCCTATTCAGACTTCAAATTTCTTCTTTCGTTCCAAATTCAGTCTGTGCTCTAACTTTTGTATGTTGCCAATGAAGATGTCATTGATATTTTTTAAAAATGAAAATATGTCGAGTTTATTGTTGAATATGTAAAGGTTAGTGTTACGAGAGACGATTTGGAAGATATAATCGGCGGCCATGTATGGTTAGGTTCCATTTGTGTATGGAAGAACGGGGAATCCTTTTGAACCACCTGTTATAATATAAAAGCCTTATATCTTCTTTTGAAATATATATTAGTTTTTTAATCGAACTTTGTCATGAATATCATATATTTAGTTTTACTTTTACTTTTACAAAAGAGGACCACCTTTGACAAAATTTCTAACTTTGTCCCTGTTATATATGGGTTTCGTGCCTACTTTGTGTGTATACATATATATATAATATATTTTTAAAAAAAATTAAAAGAAAAAATAGAGAAATAGGTAAAAAAAGAAAAACCAAAAATGCCTCTCACTTAACTAATTTTTTATAATGTAGTTAAGATTAAGGATCATTTTCAAAGCAAAATGCATAAAACCATAACTATATTCAAACTTTTAAAAGTTTAGGGACTACTTTGAGCTCCTTTTGCAAACCTGCAAACCACAGGGACCAAAAATGGAGTTTACATTAAATAAAGAAAAAACATAACTGTCAAGAATGGGATTCGAACCCATGCCCTTTCGGACCAGTACCTGAAACTGGCGCCTTAGACCAACTCGGCCATCTTGACCTATTTGCTAGATTTTTGGTACAAATCCTTATGTACAAATTCAAATTAAAATGATCGGATTTGCGTTTCTTCGTTCTTCCCAAGGTAACTTCTTCTTGATTAGAATGATCAAAATCAGATACATATATTTTAAATCCAGTGAAAAAGATCACGAAATAATGTTTGATGGCATGTTTTGTGATGCCATACTCACCATCACTATCTTGTGACATAGATCTTGCGGTGTTCAAGGATATTACAGACTTCTGGAGATTTTAAGGGAGCCAAACACATTCAACAGAGAGTAAAAGGATTCTTCTGATCACCCCTTTATTCATGAGGGTACTAAGCCTGTTGAATAGGGCTACACACACCTACATTCATGCCCGTCTTGGAATCACCCTTGTGGTGTTCGACGAAATTACTGAGTGACATTAGTGAGACCACGAATTATATATTCATGTTTTGCTTGAAATGAGGATTTATGTATTCGAAATCAAACAAACATTTGCTCCACTGAACATGTTGATAACACTGTTTTGGCACTGTTATGATCTATCCATGTAGATGCCAAGGTCTTGAAGGCGTAAACTCAAAATGGTTGTTCCTTAGATGAATATCAAGATCCAACAAAGAACTCATTTTTGTTTAAACCCAAAAGATTCAGGTGATTAGACACAAACTGAACTAGGAGTCTCAATGTTGATTTATCTTGCCCTTGTTTCATATGCATCTCTGATTACCAAACCATATTGATTAGGTGTCCGTTCAGTTTTGGAGCCGTTGGTCTGACTCTCTCACCGGTCGTTGGATGCAACGCCTGTGGAAGCAATCCTATTGGGTACGGAAATCTTCGTCTTCTTTATGTGTTATTGTCCATCTTTTGCTTGGTGATCTGCAGCATATTACATGTGTGTAAACCACTGAATTGCATTGCTTATTGCCCATTTCTACCAAGTGTGGCTGCTAAATTATGAGTTATCCAATTATTCTTGATTCTTCTCCAACCTATTTTATCAGTTATCCAATTATTCTTCTCTGAAAGACCACGCGGAGTGATATAGTCGAACCTAAACCTCAGGCTCAATATTAGTTGTCAATGATGATTCTTTGTCCACTGTCTTTCGTTGATGTTTTCTATGATTATTAATGGTTTCCTTGTTTGTATCTCTAGATGGTATCATGTATGACAACTTAAATGAGTCTTGATTGATAATAGTAAAGTCAGGTCTTTTCTGCTGTATGCAGCTAGCTTCTCCATTATAATAAATTTGATATTTGAGACTGAGAATTGGCACCCATCTTAGAACATCCAACCATACATAAATAGTTCAGTATCATGATAATTTTATAATCTTTTGTTCTGGCATGTACAGGTAAATACATGATAAATACACGAAAATAAAGAAAAATTCAAATCCTGTACATTAAGACCGAACAAAAGACGACCGAAATTAAGCAGAATGACTAAGTATAACACTTATTTGTAGAGTATGTAGTGGACATCTCGCTAGGACAAGTAGGAGAATCCCATGGCATATTAAGATTCCAGTCATCAGTAACGGTTGATGGTACGCTGAAAGGGAATCCACTGGTTCGCACGTTTGCCCACTTGTGATTATCATTGATTGGATCACTGTTCTTCCTCAAACCTTCATCATGGTCACCAGTGTCTATACTTCCTTGCCTATCCTGTGGTGACTTCATTGAGAAGTTGTTGAACTGTTGTTGTGGGCCTCCAAATACCATATTTTCAGAAGTCTTGCTTGCATCCCCAAGTAGATCAGGGTCAAGATTGAACAACATGGGAGTAACATCAGATGTGTTCTTTGTGGTTGGTCCCGATATATCCACAGTTGAAAACATGAAACCAGTAGGAAAACCCGTGTGTGGAACTGAAAAAGGGGAGAGTTTGCAAGCAGTTGGATTCATGGGTGTGTATGAGGGGATGTCAAGAGCTGAAAAACTGTCGGGGGAAGCCAACCGTGAGTCGTTGTTGCATAGCTGGTCAGTCATGCAAGAGATGTTCTCTAAGCTGAACTGATTAGACTCCGTGAAAAGCTCAGATTCTTTGTGTTCGGATAATGAAGATACCCATGAGTGTGAAAGTGCTCTTTGTGCCATAGAACTTGTCTTTTTGAAGATTCTGCATATAGCCCAGGCATCCTGCACATAAGAACAAGGAATTTAGTCTATGCAATTACATGAAGAACTCTGAGAAAATTTTAAATTATTACATTTGGCGGAAGGCTTTTATCTAAGATCTTTTTAGGTGGTGATGGTTGAGATTGAGATTGAGAGAGTGAAGGCAACCGAAACTCGTGCATCATCCAGTCTGTTTTAATCCCTTTAGCAGCTCTTCCCCTGTAGAAAACCAAAGACTTCTTTAAACCAATGCAGCTAGTGCCATCAGATGAGTATATCGGCCTATCAGTGCCAGTGGCTTTCCAAAAACCAGCTCCTGTAACACGGTTTGGTCGTGCACTATTCCTGTATTTACGGTCCCTTGGACAGTAAAAGTACCACTCTTTTTCTCCTGTGGGAGCCAAATCTGTTGAACGGAGCAGAATAGGAATTAAAGCACACAAAAACAACAGAAATCTTGACTTAGATTCCTGTAGGAAAAGTACTAGAAGCTAGATATTGATTTGCTTACTTGGAAGATCCCATGGATCATATTTGTATATATCCACTTGTTTGATAAGCTCGATAGGAAGAACCCGGTGCTGAATTTTCTTCTTTAGGTAGAATCCAACAAGCTCCTCATCTGTGGGATGAAACCTAAAACCAGGTAACATGACTTCGTCCATCTTCTCAACGTCTTCCTTAGGAACGAAACCTTTTGTAAAGCTAGCTCTGAACTAGAACAAGATTACTTCAGGAGGAAAACCCAGATTAGATCCTCTTTGATGACATATAGGCATAGATTGGTCATTTTGGGGCCGCTACGCTTCCTGAAAAGGGGTTTGTCCCCGAGCTTCAAACAGCCTTTCTGGTTGTCACGAGAACTTGAATGAAGGAAGCTTTGTATGAAGCACTCTATCAGGAAAAGCAATCAGATATGATCATTTTCTGTTTGTTTAATTGCCATTTATAATCTCAATAGACCGATATATTGGCCTTTATATTGTACGTTTCTTCAAATCAACACACACAATGACAAGAATACTTTCAATAACATTATGATCAAGGATTATATATATATATATATATATATATATATATATAATACACACACACACACAATAACACAACGTAATCATCAATGAATCCAAAAATGGGACTTTCCTCAATCTTATGCTTATCATAGTTTCTATTATATCATTCTTTTTTGTCAAATAAGAACACTTGATCTGTCAACGTCTAAGATGAAAATTTAGTCTCAAACAAATCTGCGGCAGTAAAAATGGTGACAATTTTCATATTGACAATGTCTGATATTAGTTGAAATGTTAACAAGTTTCAAGTTAAAGAGACATATATTCCATATGGTAACGATTACAAGTTGTCTATGGATTCTTTGCAAGAATTCCTTTTTGTTTTCTTTATTATTATTGAAGAACGTTTGACATATTAAAAAGGATTTGAAATGGTCCGATGTATCTGTATTAGATTTTTGAAGTGGGTATTAGAAAATGTCGATCATTTTTGTCATATATATAGGCCTAATCAAATGAGAACTGATTAGTTTGTGGTAACTGTGAGAACCAATGTGAGCCAATCATTTAAATAATTAATGTTATATCCTAAAATAACATAAAGGGTAAATTGGTAATGTTTACCCTAACCCTCTTGTTCTTCCTTCTTTCATCAACTAACCCTATTTTTCTATTGCTACTTCTTCTTCATCAAGTCGGCCGACGATTCAATCTTTCATCAACTAACCCTATTTTTCTATTGTTGCTTCTTCTTCTCCATCAAGCCGGTCGATGATCTTCTTCATCAAGCCGGCCGACGATAACGCCGCCCTCTCACTCCCGCTGGAGATTGAACAAGGTATTGCTTTCATAACTTGTCATGTTGGATCCGATTCCATCAACACTAGAAGATAGAGGACCATTCATCACAGGGGCAGATAGTTSACGAGGCGCTATATTGATTCTGGCAGACCCAACAGATTCCCACTSGACAGAAACAGGTGCTTGAGCCGACTACAACTCCTTCATGAAAGCAATCTCCGGCATCAAAGATGATTACGCCGATCCAAGTCACTAGCTTCAATATTAGGTACCGGAGGAGAGACAATATTTTAGGAACAAACAGGTGTGTTATGTCTCCCCCTGTCAAGGGTATGTCTCCTATTGTCAAGGTGTATCACAATGTAACATAGTGTATCACAGTGTATCATAATATTCAGTTTCATTATTTTTCAAGGGTATGTCTCCTATACACTATCAAGGGTATTGTCAAGGGTATGTCTCCTATTGTCAAGGGTATGTCTCCTATACACTATCACAATGTAATTTTAACTTAAAATACCATAATTACTAATTTCTTTATTTATCCGTTGATTTGTAGCTCACATTGGTTCTCACAGTTACCACAAACTAATCAGTTCTCCCTTGAATGAACCCCTATATATATATATATATATATATATATATATATATATATATATGCATGAAATGGGTTTTATATGTTTGGGTACATTCACATTTTTATGTTGATAAAAGACCACTTTATGTTCAATATCAAAAGCCCTCCTGCAATCTTTATTTGTTGAACTAAGTACAAGCAGAGTCAAAACTCCATATGATATGTTGTTAACATTTGACTAATTCCCGAAAGTTAACAGTCAGACAAACCTTCAATTGATCCTAAGTGGTTTTGAATTGGCCACTTTGTTCTTGGTTCACGCATCAGATACAATCCGGCAGATTCTTATATAATTTAATATGTTGTATCTTGGGAAATTGACACTCTAGATCTAGAGGGGGGGAATATGTTATAAGGATATTATGCTCAGCACAAGTCTCGATTGTTTATGAGATTTTCTTTTCCTTGTACTTTTTCGTCTCTCCAAATCTGGGGTTTATTTTGTCTTTTGTTTGGTTTTTGGATGCAGAGTTCACAATTGGCTTTGTTCAAACACTGTAAATGACATCTAATACTCTAAACCAACTATTAGATGAAATGTCCAAATCTTTTTTTACAGAGAGAGCCAACATCAAAAGATTTATGGTAAACTATGATTTTTGTTAATGGGGTTTGGTATCTAGAAATTGCTTTTTTCATCATTGTGGCGTGTTATTCGTTGTTTTTTTCATCCCTTCGACTAGCCCTATCAAAAATGTCAGTTAAATCAGGGTACGGAGTTGGGCCTTTATTTCAAAAAAAACAAATTCTAAGGATCAAAATGGAATCTAATTGGAAACTATAAGTACGAAATAATAATAAATAACAAACGATAAGGATGAAAGTTTTAGTTTACTCCTTTAAATATAAAACAAATTGGTCTTCTTTTAAATGTTAAAATTTAATTGTCTTAAGTATTATAAAAATCATAAAATCTTAATCAAGAATGTCCCATCATACCCATTAACAAATTATATACAATATTATAAATTGTGAACAAATGGATGGGGATTTGGAGACAATGTTGAAAATTCTTTGATCTCGTGATCCTTATCGTCCATCCCATCACAAATTTTTTAAACATATTTTAATTATTTTTTTCTTTAAGTTTGTTAAACAACTCAATTATGTCAAAAATGTAAACTCGCTATGCAAGCCGATTAATTCCAAGACGACCATTTGCTTTGTGGGTAGTTCGGAGTCGTCGTATTTGAACATCCGTGGTCACAAGAGGATTTTTATTCCTCCTTGAATTTAAACCTGAGACCTCCAAGCACTTTTGACCTTTCAAACTCAAGCTCAAATCAAACACTACATTTATAGTTTAAAAAACCAATTATATTGTTTTAGAAAATATTTTTTGAAAAAAGAACAAAATTAAACTTATATTGTTTTATGAAGATATTTTATATAAACAAACGGAAAACAAAATCGAACAACTAACAAGAAGAAAGAGGCGAATATTTTGCACATGTGAGTAACTGTGTCTTAAACATTACAAACAGTATCATTTACTGTGATATATGTTATAAATATAATTGAAGATTAGAAATAATGTAGAAAGCATATTCATGTTCACACGTTAAGAAAGCAACAAGTTTGTCTTTATTAGTTTGTAGGGTTTGATCGATCTCTCTCTAAACAATTGAATTGTTCCTAATTAAGCGCCTAACAGATCCAAATTAATCCTTTTCATCATGGGTTAAGTACGCAATTAATTGATTGTTGATGGCTTAATTTATAATTGCAGTAATCATATAATTCTTATTTTAGGTCGGTTTGTATTTCAGTTATATGATATTTGATTGTTTTATGTTGTCTAGATATACATTGTTGTTTGATATAAGAAAATATTTCAACGATTCTAAAGATTCTTTTTAGGTTTTTTCTGGAGGTTTTTAAGCTATTTATTCATTTTTTTTCAACGAATTGAAGGGCTTAAATGTCAAGCAGTCAAGAAGATAAAATACAACAAACTTGATTGTTCGAAGCGATAAGGGCTCCCCTGTAACGTATATGTTCTATTCATTCACAGTACATCGCCAGTAGCAGAGCCACATAGTAGCGAGGGGGTTATGTGCGCCAACTAAAATCACTCATAAAAATGTTATATATTGCCAAATTTGTATTAAATTTAATTCCTTTCTACTAGGTTCCCCGATTTACTTGTTAGGATCCCTTTGACCCACTCATTGCTTGCCTTTGACTAACTGATTTTGATGGTTGTATTTCAATTTAAACTCGTATGCTTCTTGAGCTAGACTCGATATGTCATTTTCGTTACTCTTTACTGTTTAAACTGAACTTTAAACTTTGATTTAGACTGTTTAAGTGTTTGCTTTTGGTTGCCAAGGATCGGACAAAAGAAGGCATTAAGAAAATGGGGTTAGCTGTGATACGTTAGGTTGGATTTGTGACTCGCTCTCCTTACTTAGAGGTCAAGTTATCACTTGTTTATCGAAGAGGGGTCCCTTCCACAACCACAACTTGTAACACCCTTGTCCCATGTGGCTTAGGACAGAAGATGCCATAATTAAGTTTAAAAAAATTCCAAGTCAAATCCTAGTTAAAATAGAGTAGCTAATAACCAAAACATAATTACATAATCACAAACGAAGATAACAATGTGTGTCAAAATATGATCCCAAAATACACATATATATTATCTACATTAGTCATCAAAAGCTTAACAAAAGTTTATCATGATGGGTTATCTTTAGTCATGTCATCTCTTAGCTCTCATCTCAAAGTCTCTGCTAAATCATGAACCTGTCGAGGACAAAAAAAAACCTCGATTAAGCTTAATGTTCAGTGAACAAATTATAATAACTAAACATTGAATATGAGACAATAAGTTCAAAAGAAATATACAACATTAAGTGATAAACAAGATTATGAGGTTTCCAAAATAAAGTCAATCCAACAAATGCCTCGAAGGCATGTCAAGGGTCCAAAGACCAAACTACATCACGAGGACGCGTTGTTCCCAAAAGATGATCAGTCTGTTTGAGCATGTGTGCGGAAAGAGGTACGAGCACAACACAGCAATCATTTCTGTGGTTGCAACTTAATCTCTGATAACGATTTCTAGAATCGATCTGTATGCCCTCTATTTGACTGGTACCTAGTCAAGTTCACTTTTAAGGACTATATAAGTGGAAATGGATTATTATTTTATATAAAGATGACTTTGTGTGATTTGTATCAACATTAAAAGCATTCAATCGTAGTATTTCCATCATCTTTCTATTCGGGTACGGATGTTATACCTCACTTGACACGAGGATAGCTATTTGCATAAGGCTTTCAAATCCAAATAAATTATGATAAATTTGAATTTGTTATTTACCCATTCCCCCTTTTTTCTATTGATTCGGAAAAGAGGTATTGTCTTTTGGCTTCATGATTTAAAACAGTGTTGTTAAATAAATCTATATATATATATATATATATATATATATATATATCAAAGAGAAAAATAATTTGAATCATCTATTTCATATCTTAACCCTCCCTTATACTAAAATACCGGCTCTACCATTGCAAACCACTCCATTTGTTTACTTATAACACCAAAAAAATAAATAATACGCATTCAAATATAATATACAAATATATGTATGTGTATCTTTTGTATGGAAATGTCGAATTTGGACCAAAATGGAAATAAGATTGAATTTGAGGGGTAAATATGAAAATACATGAAACTTGGAATATCTAGGGCTTGATTGATCTTTTAGCAACCGCAAGGATCTGTTTTGCCAAGTGGCAAAATACTTGAATTTGAAAAAGAAGGGGAAAACGTCTCTTTTGCGCGACTGCAGTTGGAGCACAAATCCTCCTCATATACCTGTATTAATGCATGTAATATTATTCTAATTCATTCGTCCTTAACTTTCGAACAAAATCCCTCTGAAAATACAAGAAAAGATTGAGAAAATTGAGAGAGAAATCGACTGTGCAACGAGTTAGGGTTTGTAAGAGTAAGAGAGACGATTTCGAGGTAAATTTCCATATCAATTCCTAAATTGAATGTTCCTTGTATAGTGTTTTATGTTTCATAGTAATATTAGATCGAATCAGTGGTTGGAAGATCACCAAATTTGGTCAAATCGACGTAGCAGACGGCTGCTCGTCTAATCAAGAAGGAAAAGTCAAAATTCAAGTTTAATAGTTTGAATTAGACGTTAATCATTATAAAAAAACAATAGAATTAGTATCACCCACGAATATTGCAAAAAGAATGAAGAAATTTGGTCAAAAGTTGAGTTGATCGACCCTGAATCGTCGACAATGGCTGCTGGCGCTGGGTGCCGAATGGGTCAAAACCCGGGTGTGGAAATCGAGCAGACCAGATCCATGATTCTGGCCTTTGGGTTTGATTATCTTGGGCTGCCTTCTATGTGGCTGGGTTTGGACTGGAGCTTGGTCAGCACCAGCACCAAGTCCGATATTATTTTTATTTTTATATAATTACTTGATTTGTCTTATTTTAGTCTTTTTTTTTTTTTTTAAGGCAATATTAAAAAGATGATTTGAATATACAAGAAAATACTAAGGAGAAAACAAGCCCAACACCTGATAAAAAAGAAAGTTAAAACACAAGAAAAAAACCTGAAATAAGCCTAAAATAGACATACCAACCGAATAACAATGAAACCAACCAAAGCTTTGCACCAAAAAGCATAAACCTACATATGGTAAATGAAATCTTGTCTGTTGCACCAATCCATCTAAAAGATGTTTAGATCATTGGCCTAAACCGAAATCTAGTTGCAAGATAAAAGTTGAACTTCAAAGCAACGATCAATAGGTTGAACATACCCGATGGAGAAGATCAGGTTGTTACGCTGCATCCAAATCAAGTAGAAAGTTACCTAAACAATCACCTTACAAAAATATTGCCTCGACTTCGGGATAGAGTATGAGTCCGTACAAGAAAGCAAATCTCCATTGATAACTTCGTTGATGGACTCCAAACCTACCAACGAGAGATATCCTTCCACGATTGAGAACAATCGGACATTTGACGAAGCAATAAGTAATGGTCTCTGCCCCATTCCCGCAACAAGGACAAAGAAACAAAAGTATATCTAATATTTTATCATGAAACACCGACCTTATTAGAATCTTTCCCTATACAAGACTCCATATGAAGATACACACCTTCTTTAGGATTATAGCACACCATTTTGTTGGGACCACATGCTCCGAAAATAAAGTTGGCTTTTAAATGAAGTTCTAACTATAATTTTAACGTTTTAGTTCCCATTAAAATTACCAAAAAGTTTTTGGACTTCATTAAATAGAACATTGTGGCTATTGATTATTATTTTGTGGCATAAACATCACATTTTAACTTGTAAACTTGTATTCACATTTTGACCACAAGAGTTGGTATATTTTTGGTCACATGAAATGTACATTATAATTCAAATTTGAATTTTGATATTCTATTGGAGCCTTTTAATTTCTGGCCACGATGCCTAATGATAGCACAAAACAAATCACAGTGATAGCATCATTAAGGATCGTAAAAAACTTTACACTGCAACGAATATATCGGTCAAGTAGATCCGTCAATGATTGAGGCATAACAATAGTAATTTTACCGTTTACAAGTTATCAACTAAGGTGAGTTTCATGTATATTTCCAAAACCAAAATACATGTTACGTAAAATTTATATTTTTATACAAATTGTATAAAGTAACGTGTTCGTATTCATGAAATTGATGGTATGTTTTATGGAAGCATGACCATGCCTTTAAATGGCACGCCCAAAGTCTTGTAGCAATTTTGCTTGTATTACACACGCATTGTAGTTCAAAATGTCTTAAAAGGTACTCGTAATTATGTAAATAGTGTTTAGATCAAAGCATTTGTATGAATTCCCAGGAACAGATGACAGTTTATAGCGGATATTCACCCAGAAAAGATTTCATTCAGTATAATGGTCAAACATGGCACCAATTAGGAGTCTTACGTCTGTTCAATAGAACCATTGAAATCTTTGTCTGAATGTCAACTTCAGGAGCTTGTTGAAATACGATCAGTAAAGAGAATTGGCATCATCTCGAAGTCCGAGTGTTGGTGTAATAGTCGTTTCCCGGTACGACCAATAACGTAAGAAGAAATAAATGTACAAAACGAAACGAAACCAAAACAAAACAAGCACTCAAATGAAGAAGTATCAAACACATGTACTGAAACTAAAACTGCGTCGTTTCAACAATATCCCATTTTCCACCACCCAAATTTGCCACCAAAAGAAAAGCACAGAAACAGTAATAATCAATCCTGTTCTTCTTCTGCTTCTTCTTCTTCAAGCCAAGTATCGATACAACTTCCTATCTTCTCTGTCTCTTTCCAAGAATTCCCTCTCGATAAGCGACTCGATTCTTTTCTTAATTACTACAGGGTTCGGCAGGAATCTCGACTGCAGTTGCTTTGTAACCTCTGCCACAATATTGTTGTGATCCAGCACCCGTCGAGCCTTCATGATCCTAACGATTGCTGCCTCTATCTGCGGCTTTCTGTCCTCCTCGACCCTCTGCCGAGTCTCTTGCTTTTCGGGTTCTGATTCCTTCTGTGCCACCACTGTACCAATCTTCACCTTGTAAAACTTGCTAGAAAACTTATCGTTGAAGAAGAAGTCATCTTCTTCACTGATATCTTTGCTCATTGGTTCTTTCCTCAGAACATTCTTTCCCTTTGCACAAGCCAACGACTGCAAGCATCGTTTCAGTTCCATGGTGGGTATCTCAACAGCCTGTTCGATTTCTTTGTAACTTAGCCGATCTGCATTGTTGAAAAGCATCAGAACACACATTTGGTATGTCGAAACGTTCAGCTCGTGCTTTTGGCCTCTGCCGAATGTTGCTTTGAGATCTGCAGAACCCATGTTTGTTTGCCATGTTAGCCTGCGTCCGTTGTGGGTCCCGAGGTAATACGCCCGGAACTTGTCGCACACGCTGAGGATTTCCGGAGGAAGGTTGCAAGCGGTGCTGGATTGAGTCGGCCAAGACCCGGTTGTGAGAACATGTACAGAGAGTGTGGGTCCATCGGCTAATACGGGTCCCATGGCTTCATAAAACCCTTGCATTGTATCCTGAGAGGTTTTCATGTCGGTGAACATACCTTCCAACTTTGAGGTAAATTGATACCCACATTCCGTTTTTAGTTTCAGTATCAAACTTCTCTCCGCATCATCAGATACACTCTTGCTCGAAAGAAGCCTTTTTGCCAAGTGTTGTTTGTAATACTTCTCGAATACATCCTTCTCCTGGAGATAACGGAAAAGCATCATCACCTTGTCGAGAACAATCTCCACATCCTCTTCACTCACCCCTTTCAGTCCTTTCCTGAGCTTGTCATCCACAAACAACGAGATAAATTCCGGAGAACGAGGGTTCAAATTAATGAAGTACTCAAACGACGAATTCAAAGCATTTTGAAATGTCTTGTCGTTGTTAAACGCAAGATTGATGATCTTGTCGTGTTTATCTTTTTCATCCAATAGGCGCTGTACAAAGTCCACAGGATCTTTTAACCTTTCTGGATCAGTGACCAGTTGTTTGCCCATTTCCCGAATATGAGAAGTCATCACATCCCTAATTAAAAATAGTCCATTGGGCACTCTACGGAACAAGTTGTACATCCTGCCCAAATCCTCGTATTTGTCATCCACAATCATATTAACCAACCCCGAGTTCTCCATGTGAACTAATCTGGACATCTGGCTTTCGATCATTTCCTTTTCCACTACATTTGTTATCTTCACTTCGCTTTTCGCATCTAAGTAGTGGGAAACTCTTTCAATCTCTTCATTCAAACGTTTCTCAGCTTTCTTAAGATAATCTCCACAATCACAACATTCGATGAACTGCTGAGATTCTCCTTGGTAAAAGTTGGCTGAGACCTCAAGAAAAGGCTTCTCAAAGTCTTCTTGGTAGACAGAGGGACCCAGATCCATTAGCATTTTCACTATGTTTCTCATCAAACCCCTGTTAATAACCTCACCACCCCTTTCTCTTTGCACAATTTCCAGGAGTGTATCTTTCAGCCTAATCTGGATATTACTAGAGTGGATAATGTTATCCCTCCATAAGTTAAGCCCAAGCTCATGAACAGGAGTCTTGTGTGTACTTGGGATAAAAGTTCTATCCATGTACATTAATATGTCCCTTATCATTTGCAATGCTTTGTTGTGCTCCATCCATTTCCTGTTCAACTCTTCTAAAAACAAAGGCCCCTGAGACGCTTCAACTGACGTTGCTATTTCTTTTAAATGCAAAGTCATGGTCGATACAAGTCCAGAGTACAACTTTTCTCCAAATTTGTGCAGGACCATATTGTATGCATTCCTGGACATACAAAACACAGTTGGACGTCAAGGAACATAATTTAGTTTCAAGTAGAGCTGCTTTTGCTATATACTTAATCATCTTCAGTAACCGACAACCACAAAGATTGATATCATCATCACAATAGCCAAAGTAAATAAGTATGATAAATAGAGATCCCCGCCTAGGACACACAAGGAACCATATATGTATATATATATATATGTATGTATATATATATATATGTATGTATGTATATATATATGTATGTATGTATATATATATGTATGTATATATATATATATGTATGTATGTATATATATATATGTATG